TAGCTGATCACGGAAAACGGAAGGGTTGGGGTCTGGAGACAAAGTAAGGTCGACGTGTCTGACCACTTTCCTTAACCGCATGAGATTTTCTGGAGAACGCTGTCTTACTTGAAGCTTTTGATCACGACTTCGAGTATAAAGACCGTGGTTTGTTCTTCTAAAAATGGAAGGGGAAAACTTTAACATGGATTGATCAGGTATCCCCAATGGTGGGTCTTTTGTCCCGGAAGCTTCAGTGTAACCTTTATTTAGCCACAGGTTATCCCCCCCTCACGTCCTGGTGGAGGCGCCGCTGTTTATTCATGACTGATTATTTGTTTTATCATTTGTCTAACTTGTTTGTGGTTAACCCTTGGTGAGGGCATTCCCTATCCACGATCTTGACACGCTGCTGGCAGCTTACAGCTATGTATATCTGAGTACTTGTGTATCTGGGAGCTCTAGGTTGTCACTCAAGTAGTCTAAGTAATTCGTACCAATGGGAGGCCGTTTTTCATTATCTATTGTGTTGAATGTATCTTCTGAGGAGTGCGTGTGGAAGGTAAAAGGCACTCAATCAAGTACCGCATCAGCTTAACTCTTCCATAATTTGTCACACGAGTGTCATAATTTCTTCAGTGCTCAACAGCAAAGTCGGTTTTGGGTGAAGATCTGAAACTAGATATTCAGGAATTGGCTTAAGTGGACTGTTTTCCGTACTTGGGTGGTTGCATGACAAACTACGGTAGCGCACTAAAGAACATGACGAAGGCTCCTGCGGTGTACGCGGGACTGCGTGACGTCTCACCCAATTTGAGAAGTCGCATATACTGTGCCACTGTACAATCAGTTCTGCTTTATGGTCGTGAGATCTTGAATTTGCTGTTAGAAGACATCCATCGCCTGGAGGCTTTTGGCAATCAGTGATTTTTTAGCCTGGCCCAGGTGAGATGGAGCGAGGGGATTATTATTTTACATGTTACTTATGTGTTTGCGAATGTAGTATGAAAGAATTCGCTATCGCATCAAATTCAGCTCAAGAGGCTTTGCTTGTTAGGACACGTTTCGCATATGTCCAATCTCACCGCGCAGTTGCCCCTCCGGGCTGGGGAAAATCACGTGGAGGACAATGGATGACGTGAGGACCAGGCCTGAAGAAATGCACAGAAGAATCAGATAGAGTGGATCTTCCGTCTTCCAGACTGGGGTCCAAAATAATCCGTAACTGGTTGGTTGATTTCTTTGGATGCATTGAAAGATATAAAAACTATTCAAGAACAGTGAGGTTTTTGTTGTCACTTCTTATGGGGGTAAAGTGCTTGAAATAGTGTGTAGACACAGTTGGACTGTGTACTGTTGACCAGAGAGGTTCTGTTTCGTCCTCCCCCCCCCAGATGGATTCGGTATCCCCGTTGCACATTCTAATTTACCTTGTATGCGTTATGACTCTGACTGCGATCAGTGAAGTTCCATTCGCTGTTTTTCCGTTGTACAAAGAGGATCATATGTAGGTATGATCATTACCTGCACCAATAATTCCTATCCTCACGTATTTCCACCTTTATAAGATGAAATAGTCCCTTGACTGCAAAGTGCTTAACAGGACTTTGGGCATCGTGACTTGCGCAGATCTGGCGCAGCATCAATTAAGGTGATCACTATCAGCTTCCTGTTGTTTACCATGGACCACTTGACTAGGCAAGGGTCATGGAAGTGTATTGGAAGAAAGAGGTAGATTGGTACCTAGGCTACTACATGTGGTTCTGTATTTTCACCACCCTTCACGGATTCATCCATGAAGTTAACCTGTTCTCATATTTGATCCATTCGCTTAAGAATACCACTCTCTGATCTCCGTAAATCTATATGACGGGCAAATAACGATGTAATGAGTTTTGAGGTGAGATTATTTCGTTAAATGGCAGAACAGATGTGAGAAAAAGGGGTAAACATATGTGGATGTTGGAGGGTTCTCCGAACTGAACGAAAATTATTCATCCTTATATCCACAATCAAATAAAGTTAATGGTAAAAAATTTGATCAACTATTGTGCACAAATATCTTTTATGTGGCAATGAGCGTACCTTTTACTGCGGGTAGCTTGTCTGTCTGTTCGGAAAGCTGTCGGGTATAGTCATATTTCACGTGCAAAAGTTGCTCAGGCGTGATATGCGCACTTCTGGACCACCTTGCAATTACGAGCCGATGTTAGGCATTCGTTCGCAAGTATCACAAACGCGATACGGTGGAAGAAAGTGATGAGAATTATACACCTAATTTCTTTTACTTTTTCATAGTTATTCGTTTAAAAATTTTCGTATATGTTATATATCATATATTGTATACTACATAATTTTTATTTTACAGGATCGTTATGCGTCTTTATTGGTTCCCGTTGAAAGTTTTGTATGCCACGTCCTGGGGTTTATACATTGCCCAAGTAGGACGTGAATGTCGCAGCTTTCTATTCTTCAACACAATGCTCTGGGCTCTGTTTCTTATGCATATCTACTGGTTCCGCGTAAGTCAATCACTCTTTTCATTTCGGGACACGAATTCTTCAATTTTTAAAGTAAACTGTTATGCTCGTATGCATCCCCAGACACCAGCCTGTATTTATGTCTCCTGATGCGGATGCTGTTTCAGTTGACTATCTTGCAGGTAGTGGCACTGTGGTAGATACCTAATCTTGTCGCACCTTGTCCGCGAAGTCTGTCTCATTGGCTATGAGGGATTAGTCAAGAGGCACTAAACCGAACTTTTGAACGTTTTTTTACTCTCACCCCTTTTCCCCACCATAACAAAGCAGACAGAGAGTACGAACTTTGATTGCTCTCAATATTTTATTCTTCCTTCTGCTCTTTTATCCAAGTGGACAGCTTTAAGACAGCCACCAAAACTGCCACAAGAAGGTACATGGTTAATGGTTGTGAAAACCGAACGGAATTGAAATGGATAGGTTAAATGCCATCGAAAATAGATTAGCTTCCCTGTTATTTTTCCATGAAGTTGCATATGTGATTTCTCTCCCAAGAAACCCTTTAAAGAATCCAGTTTCACACAACCTACTGTTCCTGAATATAAACCAATTTGCAGTTGCTTCGTACATGATCCTGATTTCCAATTCGATCCTCATACTGTATTCCGCTCATTTTTTGCATCATCTTCATTCATGCAGTTCATCTTCCTTATGGCCGTTCGTCTGGTTTACTCTCCTCAATGCGGCGATATTCGTGAGGAAGAACTGGATGAGGAAGTAACTCCAGTCCCCAGCAACGGTCTGAAACCCAATGAGACCACCCACTCCAACGGATCTAAATCAATCTGCTTGCAAGCAAACGGACTTAAGAAAACCACTACACCACAATCAAACCCGATGGCGAACGGGAATGTGAATCATTTGAAACAAAGATGAACATCAGACTGTGCATCATCTGTTCATCGTCTGGTCGCATGCAAACGCCTTTTTCGATGGTGTCTGGCATGACGCCCGTACAATCGCCTGTCATTCTGTATTCTCCCTCTGCTATTGTGGGCATCCTAATTTTCATTATTATTATGGTGTATGCATCATCCTAATTGTCAAGCTTCTTGAATTCTAGGGACGTCGGTGTTTACACAAACACACGCGCATATCCATGTTCCTCTTGGTAATAACAATGACTAAACGGACGAGGTTGCACTATCAGACGCAAGAAAATTTTCTTTTGGTGCTTCCTGATAACCTTGATGCTGTTTCTCATTATTGTGAACCATTCATTCATTACACTGGTGCATTATCTCACAGGATTCAACTTTTCAGTTCCTCCCTACCTCGGGTTCCATCTGCACACGGGCCCAGTTCACTCCACGTGCCTTCTTTTGGCTATTGATTTAGCCTCAGCATCGTTCCCCACCCCGTCGTCTGTTCCCCGCTTGCATTGTTCGCCCCGAAACCGCCTTATC